GACTTTCTATGAAGCCACAATTAGCTATAGGGAGGATTTGGATCTTCCTGATTTAGTGTAATAAGGTTTACTTGTTAAATTGTAACGAAATATTTTTTTTTATAACCTATAATTCATAATAATAAATAATAGGTAATAAACAGTAATAATCAATATAATCAAAATTATTCGAATGCTAATGCTAATGCTAATGCTAGTGCTAGATACAAACAACATAATGATAATAATTATGATGTGATAAACAGTTATTCAACTGGTAAATATGATACAATGATGGTCCTGAAGAAATTTCTACTCAATTTTCAAAATTTAATTAAAGAAAAACTTCAATGAAAAACCATTTGCCAGAGGTGATTCTATTAAACATTTACAAACTCTTACACGATCAAATTCAAATGCTATATTTGATAAAAACAGCGGTGATAGCAATGGTGTTGAAAGTAATTCTTTTACCAAGAAACCTGTTACAGCATTTGAAAAATTTCAAGCTTGGATGATAAATGAAGGTTTGAATTTATTTACATTGCTACTATTATTTTAGTACCCAAAAAGCGAATCCATCTAATTCAATAATTCAACATGATAAATAATTAATTAATAAAGGCAATAAAAAAATATTTGCAACAGTTTGGATCATGATTCATGGATTGATATTTTCAATGGCACTCATTCGTTATTATTTAGATGATAATTTAACAAAGGCTAGAAGCGAGCTTGGAATGACATATACAATAGCAAGATCATCAGTACTGGTTCTTCATGTGGATGCGGCATTCATTTTATTTCCAGTTTGTAGAAATTTAATTTCATTGGTTTGAGCAACACCATTAAACAATGTGATTTCATTTGATAAGAATATCCAGTTCCATAAGCTGATTGGATAGTCTTCACCATTGTGCACACAGTTTCACATTGGGTAAATTTTTATCGATTGGCAATTATTGTACATCAAAGTGGTGTAGTCAATTTTCTCAAATTAAATTTTACCTCAGGACCTGGGGTCATGGATATGTGATGTTTATATGTTTATTGATAATGGTGTCTACTTCAAGTAAAAAACCTAGAGCTCGAAACCTTAATACATTTTGGTTTCTTCATCATTTGTTCATACCCTTTTGTGGGTTTGAGCTTTTCATGGTGCGCTTTGTATGATCCAACCTGACGGGGCACCATTTTATGATTATATAGCAAGTTTTGGAAGTGCTGGATCGCATCTGGTGTGATTTACATTGATGAACGTGTATTATGTGAAGTACATCCCAAGCAAAAAAACGGATATTTCAAAAGTTATAATGCATTGTTGAAATTAAAATGAAAAAAAAAGGCATTATGACTAAAGCAGGCCAATATGTCTTTATATGTTGTCCAGAAATTTCAGTACGGGAATGGCATCCATTTACATTAAAATCAGCATCCGAAGAAGATTATGTTTCAATAAATGTTAGAATGTTAGAAGAAAATTGACATCTAAACTTGGTTGTGATTATGGGGAAGAAGCGAAACTACGTGGAAAAAACAAGGATTGTTTAAAAAGCATTTACAATTACAACAAGAGTTGCCCAAAATTATGGTTGATGGACCTTATAGCGGTGCTTCTGAAGACGTAATTTAAATTTGAGGTTTCTATTCTTATTGGTGCTGGTATTGGTGTTACACCTTTTGATAGAAAAGTATTTGGTATGAAAATATTTTTTTAAATTTTGAAATAAGTTTTTTTTTATCAATATAAATTAATCAATCAATCAATGATAGTATCGTATCCCTTACTTAACAAAATCTACGCACCTTTGTAAAGTTTATTTTTTCTGGGTTAGTCATGATTATGCAGTATGTAACATAATATAACATATAAATTATTTTAATTTATAATGAGAAAATAATAACTAATATTCACTCTTCTCTTCATCTGCCCACCCACTCATTTACCCACAAACCTACTCATTTGCTAGTCGTTTGAATGGTTCCAATCACTATTAATGGCAATAGAAGAACAAGATATTGATCAATTTATAGAGATACATACATATCTTACTGTTCCACTACGTAAATCAGAAATTGCAATACATTTGCTAATGATGATGGAAATCTTAAGGACACCATCACCGGTCTATAATTACCAACTCATTTTTGCAGGCCAAATTGGGATAAGATAATTTTTAAATATGAGATCTGAAACTGATGTTGGTGTGTTTTTTTTGTGACCAAAAGCACTTGATAAAACTTTACATGACAAACTTAATTTATGGAATGACGTATCTGATAGCAGTACAAGATTTTTTTTTTTTTTTTTAAAAAAAAATTTATTATATTTAATTATCATATAATGGATTATATAAATTATATAAAATGTTTGTATTTATAATATAATGTACAATATATACATTTATGTACTAATAATTTCAAAAAAATTTATAAAATCAGCCCATCAAATTTTTTTTACCTCCAACCACCAGATGGATCATAATCCCAGCCATATGCTTCGGTTACTGTTTCAACTCCCCGTCTTGTTTCAGTTGTCCATCTTGATTCAGCATTTTCCTTCCACTTTATAACTTCATATGTTGTTGTATGGGATTCAATTGTTGCATTGGAATTATCAAGTTTGTCAGCAAATACTTTTGCAAGTGAATATATTTTCTTAGAAGATCTAATTAATGGAAACCTACAAATTTCTATCACATAATTATCAATGTTGTTGTAATCCCATTGACCCTCCATAAATTCTGAATCAATTGCTGATCCATTAAGAATCCAACAAATTTCAAGATCATCTAAATCTTCCAAAAGTGTGAAATGAAATATTTTTACAAAATCTCTTATAATTTCACCTGATAATGTAGCAAGTTCAGTTTGTTTTCGTTGATCTATAATTTTTCTATATTGACTTATATGTTGATCAAGCAATTGTTTATTAAATTTAATAAATCCATGTTCTTTATTGTTATTATTATCATTGTATCCTACTGTATACAAAAGATCAAAAACTTCTTCACGTATTTTTTTTAATGATGATGATGATGATGAGATATGGTCAAGAAAGGTGGTGGAAGATGGATTATTATTATTTCGATTTTTAACTAATCTGGTTGCTTTATCATGCAACTTGCTTCTCCATTCATATGGATCAGATTCAAATGAATAATCATATAATTTGTTTGCCAATTCATATAAATCATATTCAAGTCCCCTCAAGTTTTGAGGCTTGTATTGATAAGTATCACTTCCAAAATCTTTCAATAATTCAATCAACTTGTCAAAAACTGCTCTTTGCAATAAAGCCTTAACCAATGGTTTGTTCCTTTGTATTTCTTTGGCTCCAGTTACATAATTATATTTTATTAAAAGATTATCTATATTGTTATAATCAAGCTCTGCAATTGTAGTTCTTAAATTTGTAATATAACTCTGAATTTTATCTTGCAATTCAGAAAGATCTTGTGAAAACTGAATTGACTTCTGATTTTTAAATATATATGATGTTTCTGTTGATGGCAATGTTGTTGATGGTTTTAGTGATGATGTTGTTTTTGTTGATGGTGATGTTGTTGATATTGTTGATGGATTTGATGATGATGATGATGAGATTGTTGATAATAACTTCTTTAAATCATTTATATTCTTATCTCTATCTTTAATTTTTTGATTTAATAATGTTACTCTTTTTTTATTATTTACAACATTACGATCATGTTGAAGTTGTAATTCTGAATTATGTTTTTTTAATCTGTTCAACTGACTGACATATTGATTATATTGTTTTTCATATTTGATATTAGTTTCAGTCAATCCTACATTCATAGCTATTTGTGGTATTAGCTCTTCTTTTAAGTTATTATATTCTTGAACTAAATCATTATATTTAGCTACTAGCGTTGAATAAAGATTTTGATATTCAATTGTTTCTTTTCTTAATTTATCATTTGCAGCATCTTTTTCTGACATTTTTGAATTTAGATCATTATTGTTATTTGTTAGACTGATATTATTAAGCTTAACTATTGCTATTGATTCCTTAAATTCTGCAATTGTTTTATCCTTCTCTTTAATTAAATCATTATATTCATCTTTAATTTGCAAAATTTGTTTTGATAAATTTTCTTTTTCTTCATTAAAAGTCAAGAATGTTTTACCATGATTATAAATTTTTGCAACATCACCTAAAAAATTTTCCAAAAACTCTATGCTAAGTTCTTCATTATTATTGGTACTACTATTGCTGCTATTGTTGTTAAAGATGCTATTATCATTGTTACTGTTATTATTACTATTATCACTGCTACTATTATTATTTACGATATTTTCTGGATCATTTATATCAATTAAAGCTTCTAAAAATATATTATTCTGATTCTGTTCCTTCTGACTCTCATTCTGTTGGTCCTGTTCGTTCTGATTGTTTTGTTGGTTCTGTTCTTTTTGTTGGTTCTGCTCGTTTTGTTGATTTTTTTTTCTATTTTTTCGACCCATCACATACAATTTAAAGTTGAGAAGTAACGTTACGCATAATTTACTAGATAATATATACTGTACAAGGCTTGAAATATTCATTTTACGTGTAACATATCATATTTTGCAGCGATAGAAATCCCCATTGATATTCTAACACATAAATTTATACATGGGATGGTAATTGCCTAATTACCGTAAATACGCAATTCGTAATTATCGTAATTAATTTCCACTTTCCTTCTTTAAAAATGTAGTTACGAAATTTATTACAGGTGACGAAACTAATTACGGGCGACGAAATTAATTGAATAATGCTATTTGAAATCAAAGAAACTGAAAATTTTATATACAACCCGTTATTAACGCTACATTGATTAACCAACGTCAAAAACTTTTCTCTACATCAAAGCAAATAAACAAAACCTCAGAGTTCTATACCACCCTGATAATCAAATGGACAGTTTAATTTCCGACTATAAAAGTGTTTTTATAAGAGAGACAAAGAATGTTAGTATGTGTGAAATTATTTCGTCCCGCGTAATTAATTTCGTAATTACGTATTACTATTACGTATTACCGTAAAGTCTCGAAAGATATCATCCCTTTTTACAACTGTTTACGACTATGTAACAAATGATTTTCAATTGTTTCAAAGTAGGGAGGGGTGCTATCTTTTGGGGGGCATGATATTTCGAGACTTTACAGTACGTAATACGTATAACAACTACCATCCAATGTATGATTGATTAATTAATGGATTTTTACATCACCCATAATTAATTTCGTCTACAATGCTCGTAATAAATTTCATCACGCGTGATTAATTTCGTAATTAGATATTATGTATTGCGTTTTTGGCAAAACAATCACCGTCCCATGTGTATCTTTGTAAAGTTTATTTTTTTGGGTAACTTAAATATTGTCACTCTGTTCTTCTCCATCTATCTACCCATGCAAACTTACTCATTTGAATGGTTCCAATCACTATTAATAGTGATAGAGGAACAAGGAATCGATCAATTTATAGAAATACATACATATCTGACTGTCTCATTATATAAAAACTTAAGGATACCATCACCAACTCATTTTGGCAGGCCAAATTGGGATAAATATTTTCAAAAATGAGGTCAAATTATCCTGAAACCGATGTTGGTGTACTTTTTGTGGACTAAAGGCACTTAATCATAAATGTAATTTATGAGTGATGTATCTGATGGCGGCGTGAAATTTTTTTATGGAAAGGATTCTAATTTTTGGGGGGTTTTTATTGTTTTTACAATTATATAAAATATATACAGTGCACACTCTCTATAACGAAACTTTGCAGGCCCAATTAGGCCGATAGATTGGCTCAACAACCAGGCTGGCTAAAAAAGTTCATTATATAAAATTTGTAGATCTTCACATAGATTGGATCATTTATAAAAAAAAATTACAAAAAGTTGTCAAGTGTTGATTGTTGATTCTATTTTCTTTAAGACTTTTAATGGTTAATTTGTTGTTACTTAGCTGCAACTTTTTGGATTGTTGGTCATTGTATATGTTTAATTATTCTATTACCAATAAAGTTTCTTTATTTTGAAACGTGTAGAAATTTTTCTTCATTTGGAGTAATCATTAAAATTATTTCTTGCTCATTTACAGTATATCTATTTCGTGATCCTTTTCGATATCATCAATTATGACGTATTCAAATGCAGATACAGAATCAGTGGGTGCATAAATATTAAATCAAAATTTATTATCTACCAAACCGGAATTTATTATTAAAAACGTAAAAATTACTAATACTAATTACTAAAAAAAAAATAAATAGAAGATGTGATATACGATCACCAGTTTGGATGATTTGAAAAATTAATTAATAAATTCGTTATAAACAGAGTGCTGTAGCATTATTTTTGTATTTACAATATAATGTACAACATATACATTTATGTATGTAATAATAATTTCAAAAAAACTGCCCATATTTTCTTTTGGAGATGATTGTTTGTGTGTGGTTTCAATTGATTTTTCCAAAAAAGCCACTAAATACAGATCCAATGGTAGAGGTTACTCCGCTAACAACACCCTCAGTAGCAGAATGTTCTTCTTCATGTTTCTTCTCTCTTTTTTTATCATATGAATGTTTTACAGTAGTAACATCACCTGCAATAAATTTTGTAGTGTGATGATCATCTTTTTCTTTCTTTTCAATAGTTTCTTCGTCTTCAGAGGCAAATGCATGACTAATTTTTGAGGTATTTTGTTCTTTTTCTTTTAATTCCTCATTTTTAGCCTTTTCTTCTTCTTTGGAACTACCAAATACATGGCTGATTTTTTCAATTATGGTTTCTTGTTCAGTTTCTTCTTTTTTATGTTTAGTATCTTTTTGTTTTTTTTCCTCTACCTTTTTGTCATGATGATGTTTCACAGAACCAACATTTGTAGTAGTGTGATGATAATCTTTCTTTGCAACTTTTTCATCTTTGGAAGAACTAATAAATGCGTGACTGATTTTGGTAGTATATTGTTCTTTTTCAGCAATTTATTTCTTCCTTTCAACAATTTCTTCTTTTGTTTCTGTATAAACTACTTTTTTTGTTGTTTTTTCTTCAACAAGATTGCAACAAGTTTTTAAAAGTTCTTCTTCAAGCTCAGCATCTTTGATTTGTTCACTTAGATATTTTCTAGCTTTTTCGTACTGAATTTTCCAAGTTGTTTCATGAGAAAAAGCATGTAATTTAAGATAGCTAATGGTAATTGCAGTTGACCACCAAGTGTGATGTGTAGTGGTTTTCTTGAGACATTTACTAACAGCATATGTTTGAATAGTAGATTTGAATGATTGAGATTTTGTATCAGAAGAAATTTCAAGAATTTCAGAAAGTGTGTCAGAAATATGGAATGAGCCTTCGTTGGTTTGTTTGGAGATGATATTTTGTGTGGTTTCAATTGATTTAGTGTCATGCCTTCCAAAAAAGGTACTAAATACAGATCCAATGGCTGATGTTGCTTCTTTTTATCACATGATTGTTTTACAGCAGTGGAGTTACCTGTAATAACTTTCCCTTTTTTGGTTGTTGTTTCTTCAACAAGTTCATAACAAGTTTTTGAAAGTTCCTTACTTTCAGCATTTACTAGTGTTTCTGATTTGGGCTCCCCATAAAACTCATCGAATTCATCATCAGTTGCTGTTTCAGTTGTCCATCCACCACCACCAAATCTTGTTTCAGATACCAATAATGTTTTAGTTCCTAATTTATCTTTAGCATTTGCATTCCATTTTATAACTTCAAGTGATGTATTGGATTTAATTATTGTATTGGAATTATCAAGTTTGTCAGCAAATACTTTTGCAAGTGAATATATTTTCTTAGAAGATCTAATTAATGGAAACCTACAAATTTCTATCACATAATTATCAATGTTGTTGTAATCCCATTGACCCTCCATAAATTCTGAATCAATTGCTGATCCATTAAGAATCCAACAAATTTCAAGATCATCTAAATCTTCCAAAAGTGTGAAATGAAATATTTTTACAAAATCTCTTATAATTTCACCTGATAATGTAGCAAGTTCAGTTTGTTTTCGTTGATCTATAATTTTTCTATATTGACTTATATGTTGATCAAGCAATTGTTTATTAAATTTAATAAATCCATGTTCTTTATTGTTATTATTATCATTGTATCCTACTGTATACAAAAGATCAAAAACTTCTTCACGTATTTTTTTTAATGATGATGATGATGATGAGATATGGTCAAGAAAGGTGGTGGAAGATGGATTATTATTATTTCGATTTTTAACTAATCTGGTTGCTTTATCATGCAACTTGCTTCTCCATTCATATGGATCAGATTCAAATGAATAATCATATAATTTGTTTGCCAATTCATATAAATCATATTCAAGTCCCCTCAAGTTTTGAGGCTTGTATTGATAAGTATCACTTCCAAAATCTTTCAATAATTCAATCAACTTGTCAAAAACTGCTCTTTGCAATAAAGCCTTAACCAATGGTTTGTTCCTTTGTATTTCTTTGGCTCCAGTTACATAATTATATTTTATTAAAAGATTATCTATATTGTTATAATCAAGCTCTGCAATTGTAGTTCTTAAATTTGTAATATAACTCTGAATTTTATCTTGCAATTCAGAAAGATCTTGTGAAAACTGAATTGACTTCTGATTTTTAAATATATATGATGTTTCTGTTGATGGCAATGTTGTTGATGGTTTTAGTGATGATGTTGTTTTTGTTGATGGTGATGTTGTTGATATTGTTGATGGATTTGATGATGATGATGATGAGATTGTTGATAATAACTTCTTTAAATCATTTATATTCTTATCTCTATCTTTAATTTTTTGATTTAATAATGTTACTCTTTTTTTATTATTTACAACATTACGATCATGTTGAAGTTGTAATTCTGAATTATGTTTTTTTAATCTGTTCAACTGACTGACATATTGATTATATTGTTTTTCATATTTGATATTAGTTTCAGTCAATCCTACATTCATAGCTATTTGTGGTATTAGCTCTTCTTTTAAGTTATTATATTCTTGAACTAAATCATTATATTTAGCTACTAGCGTTGAATAAAGATTTTGATATTCAATTGTTTCTTTTCTTAATTTATCATTTGCAGCATCTTTTTCTGACATTTTTGAATTTAGATCATTATTGTTATTTGTTAGACTGATATTATTAAGCTTAACTATTGCTATTGATTCCTTAAATTCTGCAATTGTTTTATCCTTCTCTTTAATTAAATCATTATATTCATCTTTAATTTGCAAAATTTGTTTTGATAAATTTTCTTTTTCTTCATTAAAAGTCAAAAACGTTTTACCATGATCATAAATTTTTGCAACATCATCTAAAAAACTTTCCAAAAATTCTCTGCTAAGTTCTTCGTTATTATTGGTGCTACTATTGCTGCTATTGTTGTTAAAGACACTATTATTAGTGTTAGTCTTATTACCACTATTATCACTGTTACTGTTATTATTACTATTATTGCTGCTACTATTATTATTTATGATATTTTCTGGATCATCTACATCAATTAAAGCTTCTAAAAATATATTATTTTGGTTCTGTTCATTCTGATTCTCATTCTGTTGGTCCTGTTCGTTTTGTTGATTTTGTTGTTGATTTAGTTGATTTTTTTTTTTTCGGCCCATTACATACAATTAAAGTTGGGGAGTAAGTAATGTTACGCATAATCAAGCAAAATTAATTAATTACCTTGGATCTGTTTAAACCAGTACAACGTCAATTGATATTTTTTATTTTTTTTTGAATGGGAATTTTGATACAAAAAAAGGTTTTTGATGTTTCACGAAAATGGTTGCGTTGTATAACATTGATCATTGATAATTGATAATTGATAATTGATAATTGATAACCTAATTGATAATTGATAACAATAATGATCATTGATCATTGATTGCTCACTTTTGCATTCTCATTGTAAACTTGTTTCTGTTTGTAATACTAATTAATTACTATTCTTTTTAGAGACATGTCAACAGTCTATCTAGAGATAAAGCGCCTTACTTTAAAGTTCTCTCAAGAATTACCTAAAGAGGATCTTACTAAATAACCGCCTATATCAGTGGGGATGTCAATCGAGCAAATCAGGTAGAGCAAGCCCTAGCTGTCTTTGATACTGATGAAGACAAATGCAATTACTTGAGAACTTATTTGGACTTTTTGAAGCCTGGTATGTTCCCACAGTAATTTAATCAAAGTATAAAATAAAACTTTTTGTTGGCTGTTGCTTCGTTTTTGTCTGCATTATTTTATATATATATAGATATCTCCAACAAGCGAAGAAGAATTGGTGATAGCAATGAAGAACTGGGGGCTTGGAACGCTTTGAAGAGTGGAACAAAAGAAAACCAGTTTCTTCGGTTGTCTAAAGAGGCCTCCTATATTTTAGGTGATGATGATAAAGGTTCCAATCCACCTGCTCTGTTCATCCGTGATTGCTATATTCACCTTTCAGAGATTATTCTTGAGGATGACAATATCCGCCGTTTGCGTATTACTGGCAATCCGGGAATTGGAAAGACCTTCTTTGGTTATTACCTACTTCATCTGCTTGCAATGCGAAATAAGACAGTTATATATCACAAATGTAACAAAACACCAATTCTTTTCAGTGAAGAAGCTGTTTATCATATTTACCAAGATAATATTTATGAATTCAATGATTTTCTGATGAAAAGAGATGTATGGTATATTGTGGATGGCCGAGAACCATCAGATATTCATGCAAAGACAATTCTTATCTGTTCACCCCAGAAGCATTACTATCACAAATTCGACAAGCTTGGTACAATTATTCGGTATATGCCAGTGTGGTCATATGTAGAAATCAAGAAATGCAAAGATAAACTTTTTCCTGATCTTAATCAAGAATTGGTTCAAAGCTTATACAATAAATGGGGCGGGATTCCTCGTTATACATTGTATTATGCGCTTAATGATAGTCAACAAGATCTTCTCCAAATGGCAATTAGCACTGTTAATCAAAGAATATTGAACTTTGTTGGTGAAACCACAGATGATGATGATACCAGACACAGAATTGTACATATCTCTACAAATGTACCACAAGCAGGGGAATGTGAGGAAGGTGTAGTAGAAGTGGAAGTAGAAGAAGAAATAGGTAATATACATGAATCTTCTATATCAAAAACTTCCATGGTAACTAAACTAGATAAAGGTAAAGGTAGTGCAGTAATTAAACCGGAAATGGGAAAAGATAGACCTTTTTATACAATGTCAATCCTAGAGTTTGCATCTGATTATGTTTCCGAGAAGGTAGTAGGTAGACTCACAACTCATTATAGAAATCAGTTGCTGAATTTTGTAGAAAGTAGTTCGTTAATAAATGAATACAGTACACTCCGCGGTGCAATATTTGAGCAGATCGCTCATCAGAAATTGCTAAGTGGAAAATCTTTTAGGACTCGTCCTTTATTTGAACAAACTTCTTCCTTTGGGAATGGTAATTCCAGATTTAGATTGCCTGCAAGAGACAAATTATTATTCAACAACATTAAAGAGATTGCACCTAACAAGTACTGTATACCAACTCAAAAAAATTTTGCATCAGTTGATGCAATTATTCACCCCAACATATTTTTTTCAAATGACGATTGCCAAGAATCATCCTATCAACATAAATCGCTTGCGAAAACTTATTAACGAAAATGAAAATTTGGATATTAAGTTTTATTTTGTTGTACCGAAGGAACTGTACAATGATTATCAAGAGCAGGATCTTCATACTCAGCGCAAGACAGTTGTCCAATGTAGACCACTTTGGACTAATCACCTTAAACAATATGTTTTGGAGCTTGATTTAAAATTATAAAATTTTTTATTATTACATGAGATCATGAAATGGTATTTTGCGATATAATTAAAAATAACAAAGATGCATTTATATATTAATTTGCACACATCGGGCTTCTAAATTTATTGCAAACTTAGGCTTGTTGGTGTATGAAATTCGACTGCGTCAATAAATTTTTATAAAAATCTGCATATAATATCCAAATTTGGTTAGCGCATGCACATCCGCACCCTGAATTTCATGACCAAGATTTGAAGATTTTTGAATATTCCAAGCCTCAATTGAAGAATAAACACAATCAACAGCCCCATACAAAGAACATAAATAAAAAACTAGGTGCTTCAGAAAGGAATCTGTAAAAGAAAAAGAAGTTCAAAATAATCAAGATTATCATGAACATCATCATCACAATCACCATCAACTGTCTCGCAACTTGATGGATTTGCATCAAATGTAGCAACCATCACACCCTTGCTCTCCCAATCTTCATATTCTCATCGACTTGAATGTCCAAAATTCATTCATTTATCCTGCCGGTTATGTTAATTGGCACAGCTAGTACAGGGGTTAATTTGCACATAAAAGGACATGCTCATAAAGGTGGTGACAAGATGAGGGAGCAGAATAGAAGATATTAATGAACACTGGTCCTCGTATACTTGTTTCCAACAGACTAGGCTTGTGCGATCCTATAGAATTATCAATGGCAAGATCACTAGTATCAAAATCCATGATGCTGTTGAGTGTATCAACCCATAGTGTATTTCATTCAAGCGTATCCTCCTCATTCAGCAACTGCTATTGCTGTTGCTGGTGCATCAAGATTGCTCTCAACTTCTCATTCCGCTTTACTACTCTTCTCAAAAATCTATTATACAAATCATCAACACCAGTCAATATATATCGTAAAACATTTATTTAACGCACCCTCAATGTTGAAAAGATCCAATGGGAGTGAGTGAGTATCTCCTGGCCAAGAGGATTAACGAAATGGTTTGATCATTCATTATATGATTTTGCACTTGTTAATTAAATAAAAGTCCCGATTTACTATAATATTTATTATAAATATATATAATCTAAAACCAATTTTTAAATATATATACATATATTTCTATCACTATGGTTGTTGCTCTTGTTATAAAACAATTAAATTATTCAAAAATCAATTTCAAAATTTAATATTTAATAATTAATAAAAAAAAAAAAGATTAAATTAAATTTATATTTTTCTAACTATTTAACTAACTATTATTTATTAGCTTTACCAATGGTGAATACTTTAAAACCAATAGAATTTAATTTCTCGGCATCAAGAATAAGACGACCATCAAAAATGAAAGCTGGTTTATGCATTTTTGAATAGATTCTTTTATAATCCAATGTCTATAAAAATCAAGTATTTTTAATGACGAATCAATATTAAATATTTTTGTTAATTGATTAATTGATTGAAACAAACCTTAAATTCATCCCATTCAGTTGTAATAACTATGGCATCAGCATCTTCAGATGCTTCATAAGCTGTTTTGCTAATAGTGATAGATTTCTTTACTATAATAAATAAGGTTTAAATAAATAAATAATTATAAATCACATATATATATACACACGCACACACACATATATGTATGTACCTTCATTGATATTATTGACAACACCAGGTTCAGTCAAATCAAGATGAATTTGTTCTTCGCTAACTTTTGGATCATAAATATGAACTTTGGCTTTTTCTTGAATAAAAGCTTTACATAAAGTGATGGCAGCAGACTCTCTGGTATCACCGGTATCTTTTTTAAATGCAAAACCAAGCAATGCAATTTTTTTGTAGGTAATGGTGTTGAACAATGTTTTGATGATTTGTGAAATAAATCGGTTTTTCTGATATTCGTTTAGATCGACAACAGTTTTCCAATAGGCAGCAACTTCAGGAAGATTTAGTTGCTCAGATAGATAAACCAGATTCAATATATCTTTCTGAAAACAACTTCCACCAAATCCAACTGATGCCTTTAAAAATCTTGGACCAATGCGTACATCTTTTCCACAAGCATATGCAACTTCATCAATATCAGCACCTGTTGCTTCACAAATTGCAGACAATGCATTAATTGATGATATACGTTGAGCTAATAAAGCATTTGCTGCCTATATGTGTGTAAATATGTCATGTAATGCAAATTAAATAATAATTGGATATTAATAATTATAAATATCTTATATATATAAGTATTTACCAATTTTGAAAGTTCAGATGACCATAAATTAGTTGTAATGATACGTTCAGTAGGAACCCAATTAGCATATACTTCTACCAAAGCCTTTTGAGCCTTTGTTCCTTCGGGTGTTTGTAAACCACCGATTAAAACACGATCAGGATTTAATAAATCATTAATTGCAGTACCCTCAGCAAGAAATTCAGGATTCGATAGTATGTCAAAATGAATACCATCCCTGGAGTTTGCTTCTAAAATTGTTCTCATACTTTCTGCTGTACGACATGGTACAGTAGATTTTTCAACTACAATTTTTGAACTTCTTGCCACGTCTGCAATCTGTCTTGTAGCTGACTCGACATAACTTTAAAAACGATAGGTTGTTGATTTATGTGATAAATTAATTTGTTGATCAAAATCGAATAAATTATCAAGCGAATCACACAAATTAAATTAGATAATCACATGAAATTAAACTTACGCAAGGTCAGCAGCATAACCAGCGCCTAGACCAGTTTTTTTTGTTGGAGTATTTACTGAAACAAAAATCAAATCTGCTTCTATGACGGCCTTTTCTACATCGGTTGTAAAGAATAAATTTTCATTACGACGTGCAAATACAATCTCATCAAGACCTG